TACAAAACTATTTAAATAAAAAACAATGAATTTCGAAAACAAAAAAATTTTTAGAATGCAGCAGCTAGTTATGATTTCAGTAGTAATGATCGATATCCATATCCACGTTATACAGATGATTGGTTTAATAGGTAGAAATTTTACTATTAGAAATTGTTTATTTATATGAATATCAATCTAATCTTTATATAGCCATGGAACACGTTGTGCTGGTGAAATTGCTGCTGCTCGAGATAATAACATTTGTGGTGTAGGTGTTGCTTATGATTCAATGGTAGCTGGTAAGAACTTTCTAAAAAATATATATATATATAATTTTTTCATTTTTGTTCTTTAGGTATTCGAATGTTAGATCAACCTTATATGACCGGTAATCATAAACTATCAATAAACAAACAAAAAAAGACAATTTACATTTTTGTATAGATCTAATCGAAGCTAATTCAATGTCACATGAACCAGATATGATCGATATCTATTCAGCATCATGGGGTTTTTATTAATAGTCTTTTTGTTTGTTTCGTGAATTATTTATTTTTATATCATTTTTTAAGGGCCAGTTGATGATGGCAAAACAATCGATGGACCACGACATGCAACTATGAAAGCTATTGTCAAAGGCATTAATGAAGTAAATAATATTTTAATATACAAAACATAATTATAAATATATGAATTTAATTTGTTTCTAGGGTCGTCGTGGCCTTGGTAGGAAGTTGATTATTTTCTGTTTCAATAAATTCTATAATTAACTTTTTTTTAACTAGGTTCGTTGTATGTATGGGCTAGTGGTGATGGTGGAGCTAATGATGATTGTAATTGTGATGGATATGCTGCATCTATGTGGACAATATCAATAAATTCAGCAATAAATGATGGTCGAACAGCACTTTATGATGAATCATGTTCATCAACACTTGCTTCAACATTTAGTAATGGTCGAAGTGATGATCCACAAGCAGGTTAGTTTAAGAATAATAAAAAAAAAAGAAATATATTTACTTTTCTTTTTTTTTTTTTTTAATTAATTAGGAGTTGCAACAACTGATTTATATGGTCAATGTACTCTAAAACATTCGGGCACATCGGCAGCAGCACCAGAAGCAGCAGGCGTATTTGCGCTTGCACTTGAAGCAAAGTATAAAAAAAGAAAAAGAAAGAATTATTTTATTTGTCGAAACATTTTTTTTTTGGTATTGATTTAGTCGTCAATTAACATGGAGAGATATTCAACATTTAACTGTCTTAACAGCAAAACGTAATCAACTTTTTGATCCATCACAACAACATTTATGGCATATTAATGGAGCTGGATTAGAATTTAATCATTTATTTGGTTTTGGTGTACTTGATGGTTCGTTTGTTTTCTTTTTTCATTGAGTATAAAAAAAAAAAATTAAATATCTTTTGAAATTATCTAGCTGGCGATATGGTCCGACATGCTAAAGAATGGAAACCATTACCAACTCGATATCATTGTACTGCTGGTAATATAACAGGAAAACAGTAAATATTTATAGAAGAAAAATAACATATGATTTTATTAATTTCTTTTTTTCTTCTTTTATAACTAATAGACCAATATCTGAAAAAGGTTCATTAAAATTAACAATAAATACAGATGCATGTAAGAATACAAAAAATGAAGTAAATTATCTCGAACATGTACAAGCGTTTATAACATTAAAAAGTAGTCGACGTGGTAATACAGTTATTTTTATTACATCACCACTTGGTACAAGGTAAAATAAACAAAGAAATTTTTTCTAAATAATTTCTTAAAAATATTTTTTTTTTTCTAAACTAGATCATTAATTTTAAGTCGTCGTCCATTAGATGATGATTCAACAAAAGGTTTTTATAAATGGCCATTTATGACAACACATGCATGGGCCGAACAAGCTCAAGGTATATGGACACTTGAAATACGTTTTGATAATGAAGATAATGCAAATGCACCATTAACAAATCAACAAAATCAAACAATATCAGATAAAGAACAAAGTCAAAAATTAACTACTGGTAATTTTTTTGAATGGTCATTGATATTACATGGAACAAAAACAGCACCATATGTTAATCAAACTCCATTATCAATATACGGTGATAAAAGTAAATTATCTATTGCTAAACAAATACATGAAAATAATTTTCACGATAAAGCAAAATATGTTCAATTACTTAAACAAGATAATCAAAAACGTTTAGGAAGTGATGATGAAACAATTATGTAAACAAAATAAATGAATTTACATATATCCTTATCTAATAGACATAGTCTAGAAGAGAGAATACCAAAATGAAAAAAAAAAAATCGATTTTATTACCGTGTACAGCCTTCCTTCTATTTTTTCTTTTCTTTTCTTTTCCTTTTTCATCATGTGAAATAACGCTTATCATCGTTCGGGAAAAAAACTAATATATATTTATATATTTATTTTATTATCGTTTCTTGTTCCGAAAAAAAAAACAACAAATGAAATGTGTTCAATGACGATCAATAAAAATAGAGTTATATGATGATGCTGAATTAAATAAAAATGAATGAATTATTTGTCGAATGTATTTTTATATATCAATTCAAAAGTATTACCTTAATTATTTATATATAAAAAAATATAAAATTGTTTATCTTATTCTCTCGAGAATTTTTCTGTTGGTTTATTTTTACGAATGACTAATCATGCAAGATTTTTATGCTGGATTTATCTGATAGAAAAAAAAAAAGAAGATATATTTGAAGAACAATACAAGAGTATTTCCGAAGTCGTCAGACTTGCGGGAAAGTTGATTAGAAAATTTTCGTTAAATTTGATTGAATTTGGAATTGAAGGTTGTTTAGGGAATCGACGAGCAAACAAAAGAATAAAACATTGGAGCTCCGTTGAAGAAAAAAATGAAAAGTTTTTAACATTGATAGATTACCCATATGATAAACTTCTGAAATAATGCATGGTTACTTATATTTGTATATTTATTACTTTTTAAAGATTCAATTTGTCAAAATCAAAAAAGGCATCAGTGTATGCACAAGTTAAACTCAATTGAATAATATGGTATAATCATACAAGTGAGAGAAATTAGATTGGCGTATTGATCATCACTTTTTTTTCTAGCATCTTTTAAAACAAATTAAACTTTCGACAAAAATGATTCATAATATTGATTATTCAAAAAGATACACAGTAAACGTATAGCTAAAAAAACTTAACTCAACAACACGTCAATCACGAACATAAGACAAATTTCATATAGTAATTTCATTCAAAAGAAAAATTAAAATATCTATCGAAGTGATAATGGAAAAAAAAGATATTAGTTCGTGCTTATAAAATGAATATATTAATAGAACAATCTCTTTGTTTATTTCGAAGGATTTACAGCGCATCTAACTGCCTGTGAGACTAGACGTCGAGAATTAATTATGGTTTCTATCATACACTTCATTGATCTTATGTTGCAAGCCTTGATAATACGTTTCTTTGACATAAACTCTAGAATATTTTCTTAATAGTACCATACACATCTGTTTTTTTTCAACTCGCTCTTGTGAAAATTTCTAATGAAAGTTACCATGTGAGCTGGATTTTTTTTGTCTTTTTAAAAAAAACTGTAACTTAACAATTAGTCTATTGATGAAATTTCATTTCTGAATATAGTCGATCCAAAATATCGAACTCTCGAAACTACCGATGATATATTAATTATAATTACTAGTATATATTCTTTGTATTTTTACAAGTAAGAAATATACAACAAAAGAGAATATGAAACAAACACATACGACCACAACAAAAAAAGAAAAGGATATTTATGCATGTAATTGAAAGAATTCCTTCGTTGATTCAAACAATTATTATAATTTGTTTTTCAGTTTTTTTTCTTATTTAATAAACGATATGGTGATGATGATTGATGATGTTTTTCCAATTCTTTTGTTCGTCCTTTCCATCGTCGTATTGAACTATTTTGTAAACGTTTTACTGAACGAGCTACATGACCAGTAGTACGAGTTCCTGATAAAATTATTTTATTACCATGTATTAAAGCTTCTTCAATAATACGTTGTTCAGGTGTATTCATTAATGTAACAGTAAATCTATTTTTATTATTATCATTTTTTTCTTTTAATAATGATTTAGAGGTTACTGATGATGTAATTGATTGATTATGTAGTTTTTCTGATGATGAATGGTGTTCAAATGCACATACTTGTTTGTGTACACGACCAGCTAATTTATCTTTAAGTATAAGAACACTTTCTCGACCACTATTGTGTAGACTAACATTCTAAATAAGGTACACACAAGAATAAATCAAAAAAACATGTTTTCTTTTATTGCCTAGGAAAAAACGAGATTGGATATATTTTATTAAATATAGATTAAACAAAAAAAGAAAAGAAATGAATTATTGTTGAAAAAAAAAGAGAAGGAAAAAAAGCTTCGAAGTTCACAAAAAAAAAAATGTAAATTAGATATATTTGTTTACCTCATCATTCTCTCCAAGATTTAATGATATCGATTTAGTATTTAATGTATGAAATAAATCATTTGATGATTGAGTAGTTATTGAACATGAAAGTGAACGTTCTTTAGATATTGATGATGGAAGAATATTATTCGAAGATGAAGTTAAATTTGATATTGATGAAGAAAGACGAACTGGTATTTTCGGTGTTGTTAATTTAATATCATCTTTAATACACAAAGAACAAAAAAAAAAAAGAATATTAACATACAGAATGAACTATAAATAACTAGACGATACAAAACATTCTATATCTTCAGTCTACTTTAATCGATCGGACTGGGTTTTTTTTCGGTGATAGAGAGCTCTTCAAAGTTTTTATTGACAAATGAACAATCAACTAATATTGTTTTCAAGTAGCACTACGGGCTAAAAGTATCTTCCGCTTTGATCTTAGCCGATTTTTTTAAAAGTCTACATCTGAAATTTTTAGTATAGGTGCTACGTAAGGAATTTAGGATAATGAAACCAATCCAGTTTTGTTCGCTGGAATTGATGAGGAGAAGCCTACGGCATGATCAACCTATTATTATATAAATTATTCAAATTAAAGGACTCGATAATGATAGGTTAGCTGCCATATCATTAGCTTCTTCCTTTCTTGAGTTCAAAATAAGAAGGATTGCTATAGATTATAATTTCTCTTCAACTAAAGCGAATGAAATTCATGCTAGCCTCATTAACCTACATTTCTAGGCTAGTGTATACAGTAAAAATTTCACCTGGTTAACCCTAAGAGTAATTGACGAGAGAAGCTCTCCAGGTGTATCAACTTTCAAGTTTCGACTTTGAACTTCACCATACAAAGTTGAAAGTCAAAACTCGATTTTTCATGTGATCACAGATTTTTTGTTGAAAAATTCAAGCATTCTAGATTTTTCTATTATTCATCAAATAGACATTGTCTTGGCTGAAAAGCGATTGGACATCTGGAGAGATTCCCTTGCGAAATACTTTTTGACCAAATAGTGCTACTTTCATGGAATATCTATTTAATAGTTTTCTTATGAATACAATCTTTGATGAGTCGTCTATCATTGAGAAATAAATTAGCTCAATGTATTAAAGTAGACTAGAAAAATTTCGTTTAGTTATTCATAACCCATATTGCATATATATTCTTACTAGTAGTATTTGTAACTGGTGTTTTTTTAATATGAAAATTTTCATGATCTTCATCCTAAGAGAAATATAAATTGAAAATATCTTATTATTATTATTAGTTTTAATGAAAATTCTTTAAACATACATCTGAATCTGTTAATCGAATACAACGATTTTCATTTCGTCGTAAAATTTCTTCAAGATTATTATCATTATTTAATATTTTATCAATTAAAATTGGTCTATTTAAATTTTGATTATTAATTTTAATTTCATTTTCATTATTTTTTATATTTAATATATCAATATTTATATTATTAGATTGTATTAAAATTTGATCATTATCATAGATTTGTTTATTATGACTTATATTTCGTTCTAAATCTGTTTCATCAATAAATGCAACATCAAGTGAACCATGTTCATTATTTATTTGTTCATTTGGATATTCTTTTAATGATTGAATATCTTCATTACCAACAACAACAGCTAAATTAAGTTCATTAGAAATATCATCATCATCATCATTAAATGAATCATCTTCATGTTCTTGTGTTAAATTATGTTTTATTTGTTGATGATCATCAATTGTTATTTGTTGTTGACTTGTTAATGAATGTGAATGATTATTAAGCATACAAATAACATGACGTGTTTGTTGTTGACCAGCACTAGATGATATTGAACGACGTGGACGAAATGTTGTTGTTGTAAATGATGTACTTGTAACATCATCCGAATGACGACGATGAATACCAAAACTAGAATGCATAAGTAATGATGTTCCAGCTATTTGTTGTGTTGATATTTGCATTGAATTATCTGTTGGTTTAATTGGTGATGGTGATGATTCAGTAAATGATGAAGAATTAATTATTGATGTTGTTAACATAGGTGCATGAATAGCTATAAGAGGTTTTCGTTCGACTTTCTGAAAAAAAAACAAAGCAAGTATTCTATGCATTTTATTTGTTGATTAATGTACTTACACGAGTCGATTTTGGCCATTTCCATGAATCTAATAGATTAAGTCTAAAATAGAAATTAATTGAAAAATTTTTCTTTTTTTTTTTCTATTTATTTATATACTTTTTTGTATCAAGTGATTTATTATTACAAGATATTGATGCTAGATTTGGAAGTAATGTAGGTTGTGTTTCAGGTGGTATTATTGATAATGGTTGAAGAATAGTAGTACCATGTACAAGTGAAACATTACTCATCATTGATGTTGTTAATGTTGTCATTGAACCACTTGGTGTTGTTGTTGATAATGATGATGATGATGTTGTTGATGATGGAATTGATATTGTTGGATTAACAATTGTATTCATAAAACGTACAGGAACTTCATCAGTAAAATGAAGTAATTGTGGTAAATGTGAATGTTCTATTTTGAAAGGAAAACCTTAACATTGATTTATAAAAAATAAATAATAAAAATGTAGAATATATTTACGACAAAAAAATTTACCAGGATCATTATTATGATTTGATGTTTTCTTTTTTCGTCGAAATGCTGTTATTGGACTTGTAAAACGATTAGTATTAGGTAATGAAATTTTTTCTTGTGATGATGTTTTTGTTTTACTTAATGAAAAGAAAAAAATAAAATTCAAACAATATAATTTATACTAATTTATATCAATTAATAGAAGTTTTCAAAAAATCCTATTCTATATTTAATGAGACATTTCTTTTTTTTTTTGTTTTCTTTACCCTCGTTTTGAATTACCACCATTTGGATCATCACTTGATTTTCGTTTAGTTGTTGTATTTGAAGTTGATGATGATGATAAACAATGTCCATTAATACTATTTTGTTGATAATGATAACGATGTTCACGTGTATGAGATGATGATAATTTACCACTTCGATCTAAAAAAGCATTTGTTTGATCACGACTTTCATTATTCGAACCAGATCGACGACGAAATCGATTAGTCATATGAACAAGAAACTCTATAATTAATAAAAAAAACGATAAAAAAAAATAAACATAGATCTTAATCAAAAAATACCTTTAACAGAACCACTTCGTCGTTTTTTTGCATTAACTTGATCATTTATTTTACCACAACCACCACCACCACCACCAATACCATTTCTTATACCATTTTCAATAGCAAAACTATCATCATTATTTTGTATAATTTCTTTTTGTCTCATTTCTAAGAGCATTTGTGAACGTTCATAAATTGAATCAGTTACATAACCAATTTTCATTGCATTTATAATTAATATTTCAACAATATCACTTACATTTGTTGCACATTGTTCTGTCATTATATTTATTTTACCATCAATTGATGTACGCATTATACCAGGACCAACACAAATAGCTAAATTTTTTGCATTCATTTTATTATCACGTTCATTTAATGTTATTTCATATAAAAAACGTAAAATATAAATAAGTACATGTAAATGTTCATCGGGTAAAAGTAAAAGTATATTAATATAAATATCAAGTTTTTTATCGGATGATAATGTACGCATTGAAAAACAATCAAGTAAAAGATCTTGTATAGGATATGTTATTAATGGATATGTAAGACGACGGAGAAATTCTTTAAATAATGAACAAATATCGAATACTGTATTTGATGTTGATAAATTAGGTGTTAAACAACCATCTTCAATACGAGCCTAATCAAAATAAAAACAAAAAAAAAAAAATAAACTAATTATAACAATAAGATTTACCATAAGTTCTTTGACACGTTGAGATCCGCCTGATTTTCGAAAGAGACCTTCATTTTTAATTGAACGACGTATACAATCAAAACACCATCGTAAAAATATTGGTATAGTCAAATCGAAATCATCTATTCTTATTGAAATTGTATCCATTTGATGTAGAGGTATATTAAATACACGTGTTCCACGTTGATGTTTTAAATTATTCGATATATGAGGAGATGTTTGACCAATGGTTACATTACGATGTTTATTTGTATCAATACGTAAACCGGTATTATTAAGATCACTAATAATAAATTCACGAACACTACCTTTTTCTTCAATTGTAATAAAATTACGCATGTTTTTTGGTTTTTTTTTTCTTTACGTTAATGCTTATGAGAATACTAAATAGAGTTCTAACATTTCTAAAAAAAGAAAGATATATATATATATAAATAAATTTAGATAGTCAATTGTCATTAAAATATATTGATTTATGTGTCAAGAATAGAAATTTTACATAGAAGAAAAGACAAATTGAAGAGACAGAGAACTGTATATTTATCCAATACAGTTTGCGGGAGAAATGAATGAATGAACCAATTATCTGTTAAATATTATTATTAGTGACCTCTATTGAAATAATTCTATTTTATTGCATATTTGTAATCAACCGACAATCTAATCAATATTCAACATAGTACATTTCAACTCTCTCAACAATGTTTCCAATATTAAGTACCTCAAGCAAAAGCAAAGCATTCAAGACACTTATCATTTTGAAAAAGTACTGTGTTCTACACTTTACTGCAAATAATAAAGTTCCATGGTGATACTTTGCAATAGTGTCCTGCAATCCGATCGGTTAACCGGCACTCAGTCCATAGTATGGATTCGAGTGCTGAGCATGGAAAAAAATGTCGGTTCGAGTCAAGGTGTGATCTCATGTCCGAACCAGCAATTAATGAGATCTCAATGTTTCAAAATATTTTTACTTTTTCAAACTACTAATTTATATAAAAATCTAGGAATGAAAAATCGGTTCGATAATGATTGAGCAATTTATTGTACTTGAGAACAGGTCACAGAAGTGGAAAGCGATATTGTTTTACTAAAAGAATTCATTTTTAATGAAAATTCATTTATAGATGATGATGATGAAGTAACTAAATGTATGACGAGAAAAATAAATTAAGGTTCATCTTATCGTTCTTCTATTTTATTTCGTTGCTCTTAAATGATGTCCGAAAAAAATTTTTCTATTATGAATAATTTTTAAAAGAAATCGACGATCAGTATCATATACTCTACATTCAAAATATAGAGATAAGCTTAATACTATAATAATTCTACATGATTATTGAATATATATATATATATATATATATATGTTATGTGGAAAATTAACATTAAAAGAACTGTGGATAAAGATGATTTTACTGACTCATTTGAATTGTTTTCAGCAATTTATCTAATGAGATATAATGAAGAATTTTGGTCAAGAAAGGAATAGACTATCTTCTTTTTAGAATAATGATGTTCAAAAAAACATTAGGACTTTATTAGCGCTGCAGATATATGATAATCCTGATCTTCTTCAACTAGACCAATAGTCTCTACAAAATAGAATCATACCAGCTTTGGTAAAATTATTATCGTTAACATATTTGACGAAAAATGAATTGCTGATCATGTGCTTCATTAGATTGCTAAGTGCTATTGACTGCATTCATAACTGAAATATCATGCGGATGTAATAATTGAATAGAAACAAGTGATCTATTGTTAAACGATTTTTATAAATGAGTGATAAAGTACTCATAAATACTATAAAATATCTCTGATTGTTACTTTACATTTATTGATGGATAAATTTACAGCAGTGGACAAAATCTCTTCCATTAGGCAGGTCTCAGCTTTCATACATACAGAAGATTTCAAAGTTTGTGTGCACATACTCCATTAAGAATGTAGATCAGAGGGATGAGGTCGGCTCAATAGCTTAAATGCAACGAGAACTATGATAGGCGGCAGTTATTTTTGCTCCAAGCTTTTTAATCTGAAAATGCTGTCTAGTAAATTTTGCATTAGTTTTTATAAAATACATGACTAATTCTTGATATTTTTATTTGTAACTGAAATCCAGTATATGGTCTTTTGTCACTCAAAAGATCATATAATTTGCTGCAAGATTGATATTTTTGAACCCTCGAATACTAACACAATGATTACTGACATGTTGTTTCGCTTTAGAAACTTCTCTTTTGAGACTTGTACACAAAGTTGCCCTAAAAGTTTGAGCTTGATTCATTGAAATGCTATTGAATTAAGATCTACAAAGATCATTACAGAGTTTTTCACTCTTCCAATAGTCACAATGAAATGGTCACCATTCAAGCAAGAGTTATGGATTTTGACGAAATTAAAATAGCGTGGATAGCTGGAATGTAGCCGTAAATAATGAGAAACCGGTTGATCCATAAAACCTTTTCTTTTCAAAAGTATAAATTTCAAAAGAAAACTAAGTACTATTCATTATCATTCTTCATAATTCCCGTTGTGTCTTTTGTCCTGTACTGTATAATCTCTGTTGTAATAGTGTAAAACGAGCGTACAAAGAATGCTTTGAAAATCTGTTTGTTTTTCATGTAAATGCATATAAATGTTCAATAGAACATCTTTAACATACTATGTAAATATCTATAGATAAGATAATCGTCAATGATTACAGATTAGAGATAAAAAATATTTACATGCATAATAAATGCGAGATTTCTTCGATCAACTTGTTTCAATTTAGAAAAATATAACTTCTGTTTAGATAGCTTCTTTCTATTATTTTCTTTAAGTTTTTTTGTTTTTGTTTTCAAACTCTATTATCAAATTTGTTTTTCTCTAAAGCATATATTTTTATGAATTGATGTTATAATACTTGATTGATTTACTTGCAGAAGTAAAATCATGCTATCGATTTTGATAGCTGATCTTTATACCATTTATAACAGAAGATAATTCAAATATCAAAATGAGATTCTCTCTTGATGAAATTTATAGAATTAAATAAAATAAAAAAAAACTTCAGGAATATTAGAATCAACTTATCGAGCATTTTTCAATTAGATCAAATATGCGAATAATAAAGAAATCAGCAAATAGACGTTTATTTATTTAAGACATTAATATGCAATGACGCAAGTTGCACCAATATTTTCTTTTTTGACGAGAGAAATACTACTGGGAAAAACTTATTGTTCAATCCAATGCATAAACAAATCTTCAATCAAATGGATTGATTAACAATTATAAAAACTGGACAAGCGAAAAAGAAAGAATTACAATGTCACATACTGATATTAGAGCCCAAGGACTCTAGACATACAACAAATACCAGACATTCATGTACATTCTGAATATACAAATATTGATTGCTTTGTCAGTTATTTCTCTATACACATGATTTATATTTCTAAAGTTCAAGCTATAATACATTGAACATGTTGAATTTTTAATGAAACAAAATTATAAATTAAAAAATAAAAATTTCAAAATAATAAATATTCTAAATATTTAACTATATCATAATGTCCTTGTAAACATTTTATTAATAGTACTAAAGCTAGAATTTGCTTAGATTTATTTAGTATTTGAAACTTATTAATTCGATTAATTCTTGAGCGATAAGCATTTTCTAAAAATAAAATATTATATTTTCATACAACAAAAATATTATTAAGTAGCACTTTAAATCAAGGTTATATCCAATGCATTTATTTAACAAGGATTATAACTTTATCGAATCGATTTCTTTCTGTGTCAAATTTTAAAAATCTTTTTTTTTTTTGTAAGATCAAATATATATATACCATCGTTTAAAATAAAATGTTGATTTTAATTATAGATAGTATCATTTCATCAATTTATCATAATATATTTCTCAAACAATAAAAATTGTCAACTAACAACTTATGTTTAATGTAAAATCTCAATTAGGTAACAGTTGAACATAGTATTCTTGATGCCCACATAATCAAAAGCACAATCATAATTATTAGTAAACGTTCATCGTCACATAACATACTGTGTGAAAATTACTAGTAAGACAGTTCTGTACGTTTCTTCTGCATATTCTTTTGAGAGAGAAAGAAGGAGAAATAGGACAAAAAGATTATAGATATCTACACAGTCTCCTCCTTGACGTTTTCATCGTTTCTTACGCTTGCATTTCCATAATATATATATATATCGTACTACTACAAATAATAATCATAATGCGACGAAGCCTATGTGTTGCGCTTGATGTATACAGACGCACATATACAAACGATGATCTTACAAATACTATTTGGACATGACTAAGGACAAGGTCTCTCATTTCTTTTAGCAATAGTAGGAAAAGAATAAGAATAAGAAAAAGAAGAAAAAAAGCTAATGGAAAATGCACAACTGAGCGACGCGCCATCCTATTAAAGAAGAGATAAGAAAATTGTCGTAGAATACAGTTGAAACAATTATATCCAAGTTCTAGACAAAAAAAAAGGAACAATGGACTATTCATTAATGCCTGCAACACCTGTACTAATAGAACGATCAAGTTTTGATCAAAGTTGGGGCTTTCGTCTTCAAGGTGGTGTTGATTTTCGATTACCATTGTCAATTAAAAAGGTTCGTGTCATTTCATCTTCTTTCTTATAAGACAAAAAAAATCATTTCTCTTTTTTTTATTCTTTGTTATAAACATAGGTAATAACTAATTCACCAGCACATAATAAACTTCATGCTGGTGATGGTCTTGCTTTTATTGATGGACGAGATGCAAGTTTAATGAAGCATGAAGATGCAGAAATTATGATTCGAAATTCATTACGATTACAACTTGTTCTTCGACGGTATGTTCTATTCATATATCTATAGTATCAAATATAGACTAAGTATATTGTTCCTACAAAGAAAATTATTCGAAATAGGAAAATAGTAAAAATTCAAAGAACTAATTAATTAACATTTCATGGAAATAGATATCGGATTCTATATAACAAATATTGATTATATCTGAATTGATACAAATATATCAGAGGAAATTACTTGAAACATTCTCTTGTACTAATTTAATCCTAATTTTAAGACTAATTATTGGTAAAGGTTAATATAAGTTTCCTGTGACCTTCATTTATGAAGAAGGGTAGGTGTTGAAACATGTCTTATCTGATATTCAATATAATCGATTGCGTCTTCTAATAGATGAATTGCACTCTCGTTTGAATATTATAGTTTAACATAATTTATTATCTAAACTTATTTTTAAAAAGTAAAAAAAAAAAAAAGAACAAAACAATTCAGTATAGCGATTGATCTGATATTATTTCCAATTCAATTTAGATGTTCCTAAAAATTAAAGAGAAAAATCTTATGGAAAAAGTAAGAGGTTTTCTTCCGACTGAATCTATTTAAAACTTTGGTATACACTTTAAAGTTCTTCATCTTGGCTCCATAATCTTGATCATCACATGTATAAATTATGACACTTTCAAACAATATTACTTCTGCTTTCTTGTTTTTTTTTTTTAGTGGTCAACTTAATACAATTCGACCAACAAAATCATCAGTTAAATTTTCTCCTGGACCTAATCCACGTGCTAATAAAGCATTACATAACGGTACAACACCGAATGGTTATCGTCGTTTTTAATTGATCATCTATCATCTATTATATTTCTCTTTTTTTTGTCAATACTCAAAACTAAGTTATATATTTTTTCAATATTAGTGCGCATATACAATTCTTTTTCTTATATTTATTTGTTTTGTATATGTAACTTGAAAAAAAAAACCTACGAATGAGAAAAGTTAAATAATAAAACAAATAATAACATTTATTTGATTATACGACATGATCACGTTTCATTCTTTTAGATTTGTTGAAAAGAAATGACATTTATCACAAGAATAAGCAATCATGGTATTATCTTCCGCTGTGACGCCAACATATTGATTAATACACATAAACAATTTGTTCATTATAAACATCAGAATCAATAGACAGTTACAAATTTCTTATATACGTGATGCTGTCAACGATAATAGCGATAGGAATCAGAGTCTTGGAGGGTGGGATAAGACTGATATAAAAACAATGTTTAGGATAGAATTAGAGTATTATTCATATTGCTAAGAACTTTTTTATCAAGTAACTTCGAAGACATTTCTGACATCTTTCTGTTTTAGAAGAAGTCGATCATTATGTTAAAGAGAAATTAAGTATTGGTAAAAAAGAATCAGTATTGGACTGATGGGATAAATTATCATTGACCTATACGTAATTTAGTGTATTAGAAAAAGGCTATTGGGAGTTCCGATGAGTTCAGTCACAAGTGAGGATATATTCAGTGCAAGCATAAGAGAGTTTTGGAAGAGAGAAGACAGAATTGAGTGGTGACATTGTTAATGACATTTTATTCTTACGAAACTTTTGAAATATGTGATAATTTTGTATTTGATTATCGTTGAAAATCAATAATATATGATGAAACATGCTGAAGAAAACATCATGTTAATATATGCTAAAATCTGGAAATCTTATGATAGGATAGAGTCTAGATACGAAAAAATCTTACGTTGCAGGACTCCGATTGGAATGTACCGGAGGTAAAATTGTTATGTACTTTTATTTCTTAATATTTTATAATATTATCAAACATTTATGTGTCTTTGTGTTTCCGTTGTTGCTATAGTTCTCTTTTCTCATAATTATGGTTATAGGTTATGAACAAAGATCATAAATTTAATTAATTTGATCAAGAATTGTTAGTAGTTGTCGGATCTTTTTTTTTCCCAAGCTATTGACTACATCAATTTCTATTCAATATTTCTCTGTGTAATTGTAAAAAATCCACGGCTATCTAACTGACGATTTATTATAACGAATTTTGTCATACGCAGAGAATCCATAAGAAAAGATATTCATTTTCACGTTATTCTTATCTTTTATTCTTGGACACTGAAGAAATATTATTTATGCTTAGGAGAGTGTGGGTATGGGTGTGGGCTCGCAAACATACAGTAGCACATTGTACTGGCTCTTATACATTCGCTTGAAATAATTCGTCGATGTGTTAGATTTTTTTCTTTATTTTTATTTATGCAAAAACATATGAACATTAGTTCAAACATGATTGCAATTTCAATGATAGATGAAGAGCAAGTGAGAAGAAAAATGTGATGTTTTCATCCAATGAAAAATATAAACAACATGTAAGAAAAAAGAAAGATTTACAGTTTCAACACGAAAAATAAATGTGACGAAAAGAAACAGAGAGATAGATTTTGTTTTTCTATTTGCTTCAATGTATCTAGAGATTGAAGCAAATAAAAATAGACAATGAAACTAAAACTGGAAGAATAATAAAAACTTATTTTTAAAGTGTATAATTACATCTCGAAGAATAAATGAGTTGTTTATTTACCTAATTTTATTCTTTTGTGTAGCATCAATGAATATGTCACAAAACCTATTTTCTTCTTACGTGTCATATTATTATGATTAGTGAACAAAATTTGGAGTGCAAAGACAACTTCTATCATTAACAACAACAGATTGATTCGTATTGTGCTATGTTATTGATATGAATGAACATGTTTAGTTCCATAGAATATGATAAATCATATAGGAGTATAAATTTATTAAATATAGAAGAAAATAAAATTCGTTATTTGTGAATGACTTGAGTTTCTAGAGAATATATCGAAAGGCAACATGTCGGTCTCCCAGATCACGAATTTCTTTTTCAGACATTTTTGCATAGCCCCACCGTCGTTTGTCGTCTTCGCTGGTTAGATCCCATATATCGGATTGTTGAACATCTGTTTCATATGACGCTGAATTCGCACTTGCAGGTGTAACTGATAATTGTGTAGATCCATAGAGACGATCACGTCGTCGATTTTCTGCTCGCAAACCAAAGAAAAGTATCACAATATTGATTAGACCAAATGCGCAGAAACCCAGATTGATGGCATGACCGAGGATAAAGCGCGGTGCATCTTGTGTGCGATAGACTTGCCCGCCAATCGCTCCACCGATGTTGCCCACCGAAAGCATGAATGCCAACGCGGTAGCTCGTTTCGTTTGTGGACTAGTGTTGCCTGATAAAAAAGCGGTATTAGTGGATACACATGGAGCGATACTACCAGCTACAAGAATCACAGCAAGGTACTGGATAATCATGTGTTCAACTACTATCAGAATAGTATAACCAACTACACTGACGGAAAACCAGAAAATGATAAAGATACTGCGACGAGTATATTTGTCGGACAGATAGGCCGTGATCATTGTAGTCAAAAAAGCAAATACGTAGGGCGGTGCACTGAGCAGTTGAGCTTGATAGGTGACGAAACCAAGTTTCTGAATGATAGTTGGCGAGAAAAACGCCAAAGAATAGAGAGGAACACAAATGCTCATCTCGGTCAAGGACCAAGCATAGATTTGCCATGTCGATAAAGCGGCCAAGACTTGGTTCCAGCTGAACTGCTCGTTAGCTCCAACTCCTGCATCGTTTTGTAATCGAGCTGTGACACGCTTGCATTCGGACTCAGTGAGAAATTTTGGTTGATCAGAAGGAAAATCGTTTATAAGAAAGAAGGCCAATGATCCAATAACTACTGTTGCAATGCCTTCGAGGTAAAAGATCCAACGCCAACCTTCTTGTCCGCCAACACCACCCATTTTACTGATACCATAAGCAAGCACACCACCGAAGGCGCCAGCAAGAGCAGCAGCTGAAAAAAAGATACTTACACGCCACAACAGCTCACATCTCTTGTACCAACTCGAGAGATAGAAATTGACACCTGCATAGAACGAATCACTGGTAGATAGATCTTAACTGACTCTCCTTCCCTATACCTGGAAAAAGACCTGCTTCAAAAGCACCCAAAAATAGGCGACACGCAATAAGACTTCCATAGGAATTTACTAAACCCATCAGTGTCATCACAATGCCCCATGCCACCATGATCAATGGTATCCATCGACTAGGTCGGAGTCGTTTCAGTATCAGATTCGACGGAACTTCGAACAAAACGTAAGGGACGAAGAATATACTCACACATACGTTGTACTGATTACTGCTCAGGTTCAACGACGCTGTTAAACCGTCGAGTTTTGCCTGACCAATATTCACTCGATCGAGAAAACTCAGAAGATAGAGTAATGTCACGATTGGAATCAAGTGTAAGTCCAGTTTACGAAGAAGTTTCCTGTCTCCTGGATCATCTTTCTTGTCATCAGTGACAATAACATTCACTTCTTCTATGACAGACTTTGTCTTGATAGACTCTGTCTTGACAGAGGGCGACGGACTCTTCTTCTCACAAACATCGAAATCACTCATAGTATTTGTCCAATAGAACTGTTCTGTGAAATTGCCTATTCGAAACGAGCAATTTTATGCATATATGCGTATAAAAGCAGAGATATCATGAGAGAAAGAAAAAATATATCATCCAAATATAGAGATGTGTGCATGACAATTTTTATATTGATGTTATCAGACTATTCATTCTCGTTCTCTTCCCAGATCAAAAAAAAAACGTGTGCTTCAAGGTAAGCGTTTTATGTTCTGATTGCTTCATCAATATGATGTGTAACCGAAATAATATTGAATGCAATGCCTGATAAAATACATAAAATGCAAAAAATTATAGAAAATTAATTTTCTTCGTTTTTTTTTTATACGCAGTTTACAGAATGATCAACAAGTTGACTAAGAATATGGTTTTTTTTTTAAATTTCTTCTGAAACACTTTTGATTAAACAAAATTTGAGATTTTTAATAGTCTTGAATGAATCATTTTTTCTAACAGTACGTTCTTATACTAAAACACCAACACATTTTTTTCGTTTTTAGAAAAACTTTCACCAACTGATTGAAATTTACCTGTCGTTCATTCTATGATGCAATACATCTTATGATGATAATATATTTGAATAATAACAAAAATTAGTCTCACAGACTCAGATTTTCATGAAGAATCCAAACATACTAGTTTTCTGCAATACATAACCATACTTTCAGAAAAAATGATGTATTCAAGACCATCAAAAATTTCAAATTGCGTTTATTCAATTAAAAGTGTTTCCAAAGAAATTGATAAACACATATTCATAGCCAACTCGTTGAGCTCTCTCTCTCTCTCTCTCAGTACGTTTAAAAAATCAATCACCAACATCTAACATTCTCGACGCGTTCGGATAGACAGAGAAATTGCTGCATGAGAGTTGAAAAGAGTATTTTTGTTCAATTTTAACAGACGATCTATCACTTCGTATATTCATTGTATTTTAGTCGAAGGGATCGCTAACTTTCTCAAAAGGGTGTCCTGTGACACGTACGAGATTTTTCGGATTCATTTTTGTTTTTCTTACCTGCTGTCATTGATTACTATTGAATTTGATTGCATTCATCATTCTTTATTGAAGATCGACAGCAAGCAATGTATCAATCGATGACTCTTCGTCATTCAAGAAAATCAACTCGTTAAGATTTATTCGATATCTTCTATTAATGAAGTAGTATTCATCTAAATTATGTGTTGCTGGCTATGTCATATATTGTCAATCGATTTTGCATGTCGTTATTTTCTTTTTTTGCATAGAACTGGGATTATACGGACGAGGACACCCAACCGTTGTAGGTGAATGCACGTCATACTCTTCTTTGAATATCATTTTATCATGATCTATCCATGTCTGAAAAACGTGAATGTAACTCTGCTCTTGTATAGATAAATTTCAAAAAAGGAATAGGTCAAGAAGTTTAGAGAAGCGAGAATAAAGAACATATTCAATCAAAGTAGACGCAACGTCGATTATAATAGACCGGAGCAAAAAGCTCACGTTTTCGCTTGAAGCATCTCACAGTAACTATAAGATGAGCGAGTCATTTGAGATTACACTTTTCATTCAGAATGAAGAAATAATACTACTACGTAGAACAACGAATATGAGATAAAAGACAACAGATGAATACATCGGATGTTATGAATATAAGTGTACGATGATTAATACTCTTACTAATCAGCAAAAGAATCCTGAGTATTGTGAAACTCACACGTTTTACTGGATTCTTGTACATTGGAATACTCTGTAAAGAACAAGTATTTATAAGTTTTTTGCCATTTCAATAGTTTAATAATGGCTTTTTGAACCATGAAATTTCGAATAAATCAAAATTTGTCGAATTGATTAAATATAATTTATCTATTTTAATTCAACTTAGCAAATTCTATGAAAATTCTTTTAATCAGACAAATTTTTGAATAATCTTTCAAGCATATCTCTCATATGTTCAATTTTAATTCTTCTATCCTTAGTTGAAGAGATTTAGAAACAAAAAAGTTCGAATGTATCAACTAAATGAATTAATAACAAAACTCTTAGAACCTAATCGAAAAATTTGATCATACACTGTGCACTAAAAAAAAACATTGGATTTGTACGTAAAGGATAAAACTCATTTGATACTATTGCATTGTACATAATAATTAAAGTAAGAACATCTATATCCAAGGGAGAAAAGTATACTCCTGTACTTCTTCATAATTTTCCATATGCGTATTGGCCCCTACATAGTTTTGTGTATTTCCTTTGCTCAAGAAATAAAAGAGTAATATTATCAATCTTTCTTTATCATACATGGTTAGAAATTAGATGCAGAAAGTTATAATAATATTATAGAAGACGAAGATACAGACAATCAACAATCGCCAGAGTTTGATAAAAATTCGTCCGTATTGAAAAGATTCATATTTCCAAATCAAAATTAATAAGAATTGTCGATATTTACAAAAAACAATCATCATGTTGACTCTTAACTGATGCACATTGTCGTTTATCAAGCAATCATCGTTCTCGTGCCAATTTTCTTTATTTTTGCTTTTTCTTTATACTTCTGTACTTCAAAAGTACAGAAGTATGCTGTTTCCTCCCTTGTCTGTAGCTCATTTTGATACTACTGTTTAAAATTTTTTCTATAGTCAAACCATGTTTGATATTGAATTTTCCAACTATAACTTTAAACAACGAATCGATTTTGTTGGAAATTCAAAAACTAAGGTTTTTAATACCATCTCAAAAACCTTTTCAAAGTTTTTCCATGTTGAAAATTGAAGCCATTGTTTTTTTGTATTTTTCACAATACAAATTTTTCTTTAGACTATACATATATATATATATGGCAAAGAACATAATAGAGACTAAACTATTTTGTTTCTAATGATATAAAACTATTTATTAAACAAATTTAAGGTTTACATTAATCTATGTACAATTGATCTCAATCACCTGACAATTTAATAATTGTAATTTGTTTTTTTTTATTAATAATGAGACAATAGGAAAAAAAATTTGAAATGACTAGTTAAACCAAGGTTCATTTACCAGATGTAGTCAGTTGTTTATTTGGTTTTCTTTTCATGACATGATTAATATATGATTCTAATTCACGTAATGTTGACGGTTTAAGTATTTCAAAATCAATTTCCATTTCATCTCGACTTGAATCACGTAATGATGGTTCTCGTTTATAAATAATCTATTTAAAAACAAAAAAATAATAATCAAATAATAAAGAAATTATTTTTCAAATAAACCTCAACAACAGGACCAAGTTTTTCACTTGGTAAATTATTAATATCAATACTTAATTGACGTTTTTCATCATAAGTCATTGGTCTAGAATTTTCTTCACTTTGAATATCAAACATTGATGAAGCAGGATTTGTTGTATTTTTCTTCGGTGCTCTAATGAATAATATTAATAGAAAATAAAATCTTTTTTTTTTTTTGTTTTTCATTTTTTTACTAACCGTTTCACTCCTGTTGTACCAGCTGCTGGTCCACGACGAGCTTGTTCTGAACCTTTATTAACATTAGTTTTATTTGTTGTATTTTTTGTTGCTTTCATTTGTTTCGGTGGACTTATATCTCCAGAATTATATGGATCTAAAGGTACATTATTAAATTGACTAGTACCATTAGGAGTAATTGAAGTATTCGATTGAAGTAAACTTGCAAGTGATGGTGTTGTTTTTTTTGTTGCCATAGCTACAGTCGAAGGATTACGTGTAGCTGTTTGTGGCATTGGATTCATTGAAGTTCCTTGTACAGCATTAAAAATATTCGGTGATAATAATGAATTTGTTGGTGATAAATGTGGTAAACGATTTGATTCATTTATTGTACTTGTCAATGGTAATGAACCAGAATGACCATCTTTAAATGGATTTCGTTTCATTTTTCGTTTATAACGTAATGTTATACGATCATTTGTTTGTTGAATTAAATATGTTAATGTATTACCAATAACTTTCACCTTAAATTATATTAAAAAAAACAAAGCAAAATTTATAATTTAAATCATTGAGATTGTCATGATTGAGTGACTACATTGTTCAATATGTATTCACAAGGTACTGTATGCAAATTTTAGTATCATTCGTCATGGAATGATCCTGAATAACTCACTAACAGTTATTTATTTCAAACTATTCGTCTGATAGTATGCTGACTACATTGTGACACATATACTTGCTCTTGTGATTAGTCAGTATGAAGCAACAACTGACAAGAAAATCTCTCGAAGTGTCAAATTGCTTTTCGATCGAGATGATATTGTTCATGCAAAATTTCAAGTTGAAAATCGATTTTTCACATGATCATAGATTTTTTTGTTTATTGAAAAATTCAGTATCTCAAGAATGAAGGCTCATAAAACCGAAGTATTCTAGACTTTTTTTTATCATTCATTTGATGCATATCGTCTTGATTGAAAAGTAATTTGATACCTGGAGAGTTTCTTTCATGAGCACAAGAAATCTACATCAGGTCAGCTTTCTCTTCGAAATCACAGATAGTTATAATTCATATCGCAAGTTAGCCGAAAGACAGAACGATTTTTTTTTTTATAAATCATTGATAAAAAAAAAAATTTACTTGTTCTTGAAGAGAATATAATTGTTGTAAAGTATTTTCTCGAGTATTATCAATATCATCCGAACTATCATCACTTGATTGACCATCATCTGAACTTGTTATTATTGATGATGTATGTCCACCAGCACTACTATTATGTTTTGATGAATGACGTTTACGTTTACGTGTTGATGATGATGTTGATGATGTTAATAAACCATTATTATTACGTGTATTCGATGGTAATGGATCAATATCAATATGTGTTGTAGATAAATCTTCGGGTAATTTAGCAAATCTATCTTCAAACATTTGCTATAAAATTATATTTAATTATGAATTTAGAAAAAAAATTTTCTATTGTTTTCTTTACTTCAACTTTTTTACACATAGCAACAACATCTGTTTGTGGTCCATTATAAAGATAACAATTGCTAAATATAAGTCGTACATCAAAAGCAAATTCATCAGCTGTTGCATATTCACGATTTTCAAGTTTTCTCTTTTAAAGAATAAGATAAAATATATTGAAAAAACAATTTGATATTTTATTATTATTATTATTATACCTTGACTGTACCAAGATCCATTGGTTTTTTAATAATTTGATAATAATCTGATAGATTAAGATTTTTAACATCAACAGGTTTAGAAAATGGCCAAACAAATGCCTAAATAAAATAGAAAAAAAGAAATATTTTAGATTTCTTTTTTTTTGATTTTTACCATATTTTTTTTATGTAATAAATCTTTAACAATATGTTGACAAAATTTTAACTGTTCGGTCATACGATGTTTTGATCGTTTAGTTGATGGCTAAAAAAAAAAAAAATTAATTTTCATTAAAAGACAAAAAAAACAAAATTTCTTACATCATTTGATAAACTACTATCATATTTCGTACGTTTTGATGTTCCTATTGGACCACTTGGTCGTTTTGTTATTGTATCATCATCCAAATCACTTTTACGTTTTAAATTCTAAATAGAATTTTTTTTTTTTCGAGAAACAATACAAAAAAAAAAAAATTTACTGATATTGATGAATCTATATTTGAAATTGATGTTGTTGTTGTATTAGGCATTGATTGTTGTTCACCAGATAATCTTGGTGACATTGATTGACTATTTTGATCAATATGATTTGAATTATTATTATTATTATTTAATGGAGAAAATGGTGATGTTCTAGCACTAGGATTTGTTGATGATGATGTTAAATTTCGAGATAATATATTTGTACCATTTAATTGAGAATTATTTACAGGACCTTTCGATGAAGATGGTGCTAAATTAAATTTTAATAAGAAATTAATAAAAAATTCAAATAGATTATTTAACGGAATGAATACATTCATTATTACAGGCAATTACTTTCTGTATTATTATTATTATTATTATTGTATATATAGTTTTGTTCGGAAAAGTGAATACTGACGGACGGAAAAAAATTCATAACAAAAGAATAAAAGCTTCACTGCAGACAAATAAGCTAATACAATACAAAACAAAACAAAAAAAGGACGGAAGTCGCTATTAGTAAATTATATATAAAGAACTCTACATGAACTTAAATTTTTAGATTTTCACGAAATGATATCGAAAATTAATTTTAATAGGAAAGTAGAACTAAGATAAAAAAAAAAGAAAAGTATTTTGATTTTCTAAATCTCATTAATTTCAAAAATAATGAATTTCTATCTTTTACAATATTGAAAACGTCCTAATAAATCCATGTGTGTAGATATATTTGTCCTTCAACGAATATATTCGATTGTATATTTTGTTCTACCATCCGTGACTGTTTTTTTTTTCTTACTTTCTCTCTCGCGCCGTCGATATAGGTATCTACCTTTTCTTTTTTTAAATATAATAAAGTGAAAGCAATAGTTATTTTGACTACTCTTGTTATGATATGTAAGGTCATACAGTTCTTATGGAAAAAAAATTAGTCTCATATTCGAATTTTTTTTTAATTATAAAAATTACTTATAGACAATTCTGTATAAATAGCTATTGAAAATTAGTAAATGTTATCTTATTATACTAAAAGCTATAATTATCAAGAATCCGTACTCTATTTTTTTTACATGGACTTTTAAGGTTAAGTTAGGATCGTTTTATTGAATTTTGTGACATGTCTACAAAACCATAGGATAGTTCGTTGATTGGAACATACAAAAAGTAATGTTAATGATAGTGTAAATATCATAGTAATAAAATTTCAATAGAAATTATTTATTATAATATTTAACAATAGAAAATCTACAAAAACTTTAACTTAATTTTTGTATAAATTCCTATGACTGTAAGATACGATTCAATAGTTTTCTTTTTTTTTCATCTCTTCTTTCTAATGATGAAAACTATATTTTTCTAAATTATATCTAACAAAAACTATTTGCTCACATTTATATTTTTGTTTTAAAATGACCATGAGTGTTATCGTCATTATCGTAACAAACAAACTCTTATCGAAATTTTATTACTATGATATTAGTTGAAGAATGATGCAATATAGAACATCATTTTTTTATTGTCGATACATATATATATATAAAAAAAAAGAAAGTTTCCTATAGGATATTAATGTGCCATCAACACAATTTTTTTTTTGATTGCTCTTTAATATTCATAACATAGAGTAATGATAAAAAAAATCAAAAGTATTCTTTTTTCTTTTTAAGTAAACATAAAACTTCTTGTAAATATTTCAAGAAGAAAAAAAAACAGAACTTTAAGTAAAGTTCTTATACATACATGGTGAATTAATAGGTTCGCTTGGAGTTGATGGTGAAGGAACAGAAACTGTAAAATTTCCATCACCAATATTTTTTACTGCAGATGGTTTTGTTGAATGAGGTATGATTTCAACTTCCTACAAACAAAAATATATATATATTAAGTTCAAATACAAGAATTAAATCTACTTACATCTGACGGCATTTCGGCTAATTTTTCATAGAACATTTTTTCAAGTGTTGCTCCCATGACTACAACATCCTAAAAATTATTTTATTTTTTTGTTTATGTTGAAATCTTTTTTTTTTTTTTGTCACTACTTCGCCTGGTTTATTATATAAGTAACAATTTGAAAACATTAGATTTATATCTGTAATACATTCTTTAACACTATAATAATAATTTGAATCAAGTCGTTTTTTAATTGTTCCAAGATCCATTGGATATCGAACAATTTTATGATAATTCTAAAGCAAAAAAATAAAATAAAATATAAATTTTTATTCAAAAATAAAAAAATTATTCTACAGGTAAATTAAGTTTAACTGGATTAACAGGTTTTTGAAATGGCCAAGAAAATTCATGTTTCCATAAAATTTTCAATATTACTTTTGACATATATTGTAATTGATTAGTTTGACGTCCCCGTTTTGTTGCGGGTACATGTGGTAATTTTAATGGATACGTATGTGTCGTCTACAAGGATACATATAATAATAATAATAATATGAAAAAAGAAAAAAACAATTCAAAATAACAAAAATAAAAAACAAAATATTCACCTTCATGATCAATTTTTTATAAGAAGAAAATTAACATGAATATGATGATAAGAACAAATGACAATCGTCTGGCTTTATCTAAAAGAAAGTCTTACTGTTTAAATAACTATATGTTTTTTTTTTTTCATGATAGAAAAAAAAAAAGAAAATATTTGGTAAAAATAAGTAGGTGATTCAGCGAAAGAGAAAATAAATGACAGGAGTAGATAAATATGTGATTGAAAGAAGAAAAAAAACAACAAATTATTAGAAACAATAAACGATCGCCCTATTGCATCTTGTGAGTGTGAACCTTCACAACTAAATTGATGTATGAGAGTGCATTAATATGTTAGTTGTTTATGTTATCTTTTTTTAATTAACATAAACAGAATAATTTTTTTTATTTTATTAAATAATAACAAGTAGATTAGTTAACTTGTGTCAATACTCAATCAAACATGTGTATAGATGTCGCATTCATACAGAACTTTTATTGAAAAAACAATTTTTAATGAAATGTAATAAATCATGACATCAAAGAATTGATATGCATGTATATGTTGTTCATAAATGATAATATCAAATGTTTTACAGTTCGATTTTGAAGTATAATCTTTGGTTTGAAAATGACAGATAAGCTAAAGAATAGATCATTTTTAAATTACTAATTTCAAATGCTAATCCGGGATGATCAGTCGGACATTCGGAAAAAAACAGCTATAAAATGTCGTATTATTGCATTAAATTTCATTCGTATTTTTATTGTAATCTGTCATCCTATTCTATTGACAAGTGAATTATACAGGTTAGAAATTCAGCTCATTGATTACATACTATTCATGTCAACAGAGCAATTTTTAGAATTGTTTCTATTGACGTGTAAAATTTATACTCTCGAGTATTCTAATGGACGAACTGTATCTACATATCTATTCGAACAAGTCTCTGAATTCATCTTGATGATTGCTAAATAATTAAAAGTAACAAGTAATTTTATGTTGAATAAGTATATGTGTGGAAACTATGAATTAAATATTTCTTTCTCATTCCAAAAATTCATATATTGACACCTTTACATGTGATTATTCTGTGTCGAATTTGTTTTCTAATTATAACACGCAATTAAAATTAAGTTAATTATTGAATAAAGATGAACAAATAGAAAGTGAATCATAGATAATACTACGATTAAAAATTGAAATATTTCCGTTACAGTTTATTCGATTGAGCTGAGTTTTTGATGAGTGATAAAAGTTTATCTAAACTCTTTTTCTTTCATACGAATTATTTAGAGATATTTGATCTATTGTCAAGTAAAAAAAAACAAATATGCTTGTAGTACTCAAAAATACCTTTCAATTGTTACCTAAGAGAATAAAAAAAGAAGTAACGAAAACAAACCTTAAGAACGATATTACGTTTGGGATACAGAGATTAAATCTTCAGCATTAATTAGTTTATATGTTAATAGTCATATTCGATTTGAAGTTTTTTTTTAGACATTAAATCGTTCATTTCCTTGTGAAAAACGGTGTTTCATATTTGTAACTTCGAACTATTATAATCGTTGACTTTTTAAGTAACTAATTCTGAAGTGTATCCGACTATAATATCATTCATAAAGTTTATTTTGATTTCTTCTTTTTATTCTCTTAGATGACAATAGAAAATTATTTTAGAGCTCTACACATGTATTTTTTCGTACTTGACAATAATACATCAAATTTCTTTATTGAAACCAACAATAATAGTATTTATTGACACGGTTGACATGAAAGAAAAAACAAAACTTTGAATAAACTATAATGAAGATATTTCAATTTTTTAATATAATGATATTTTATAATTCATCCTGTATATTACTGATATCTATCATATTAAAATTGATAATTAAAAATGATTGTTTCATTGGTATAAAACGTAAACTAATCAAATAAATTTGAAATTTTTCTCTCTCTTCTTCTCTTCCTTCCTTTAAAATTTCCAACTTTATATAGAATTTCTTCATAAATCTTGACTCAAATTTATTAAAACATGAGAAAAATTAATTTTTTTAGATCAAAATCCAATCATGTCACCCAATATAGATGATGAACTTCAAATTAATTCATACGAATTTCTAGATTCAAACGATTCTGTTGTTATAAATTTTTATGCACATGGAGCTTTTGAACAAAGAGATATCGAGGTTCTTATCGATCCTGATCTTCTTGAGATTTCTACACCAGGTATTTCTTTAAAAAAAAAATCGAATAATTAAACAATATTAAGAAAAATAATCAATATAATCTTTATTCTAGCTGATGAAAAATGGAAATTTCAATTATATGCACATGTTTATGCTACTACACCTGAAATGAAAGCTCAGATAAATGAAAATAGAACACAAACAACAATTGAGTTACGTTTATTTAAACAAACACCTATAACATGGCCACAACTTTATAGTCTACAATCAACCCCAATTACACCACAACGAAATGATTTGAATAAAGATATGAATGATCAAGAAAAACATTCATCTATTGAACAACAAGAACCTTATGTATTATCAATAAAAAAATTAAAAACTGAGTTTTTAGAACTAACGCATAATACAGCTATATCAAATATTTGTATAAAAGAAGTATATAATTGTCAAGTACAATTTAATGAAACTAATTTTACGGCTATATTTTGTACAAAGTTCGAAAAGAATTCAATGAACTGAATAGATTTTTAAAAACAAAATTCCATATATCTTTTCTCTTTAGTGATGAACAATTTCTTCAATGTCATTCAATACCATTGAAAATGCCAATTAAATTATTTGTTCGTGTTAAACAACGTATTAAACCTGCTCAATGTTCTTATTCAGTTACATCAACACATATTACAATTAATCTTATTAAGGAAAATGAAAATGGTATTCGATGGTATCAACTTGAACCAAATGAATATTGTGAGCCTGGTTCAATGATACAATCATCATCAGTACCACCACATCGACTATCAGCAATGAATCCAATGTCTACAATAAATAATACAAATCCAGGTAAATATTAATTAATATAGTAAATTAAATAGAAATTATTTTGACAAGATTTTATTTGTTACAATATAAAATTTTACAATCAGAAGTTATTATTATTTTGTTTTTTGCAAAAAAAAAAAAAAACTAATCTCATTTAATTCTAAATTCAGGAGAAAATTAGATGATATACAATCGATGATTTAAAAAAAAAAAAAGCAAAAGTAAATGTATGAAAAGATTAAGAAAAAAAAAGGTAATTCTTAATGAAAAATAATCATTACAAATGCATGAAACTAAGTTTTAGGTTTTGTATGAATTATTTCAATCAGCGAATGTTTCATTTTGATTTTCATTGAGACAAAGTATCAAACAAATTGCTTAATTCTAACCGATTATTTTGACTTTTTTTTGTTCTCGATTCCTAATTTATTGAACAGATATCAATATTACTTCAGCACATTTATATTGATGATTCTTCTATGATGTTCTCATTCATTTATGTTTGCACTTAGATAACATCGAATGTATATTTTCTTTAATTGAAATGATTTCAGATTTTTTAATCAGTTGAAATAACGAATAAACTAAACTCGTACAAACTTTGTCACTAACAAAGAAATCATTCGAAGTGATTTACCATTTTTGAGTTCAGATTTTCGGACATAGAAAGAGCACTGCTAGTCTAGAATAATTCCAAAAGAATTTTGATCCCTACGTCTTTTCAAAAGAATAACGATAGTGTTGCTGAATTTTTATCACAGGAAGATGTATTCAACAAATAACTTTTGACCTGAAATTTCGCTTATAAATCAATCTGATGATCTTCAGAATATTCTAAAAGTTTCAGTCAAAAACGATTACTTGTTTTTTTGAAATAGTTAATGTTCAGCAGTCAATTAGATTTCAAAGACTTTCAGAAAAACTATGCATTCCTGGACGTTAAATTCTTTAAGAAAGAAGGAATCGTTATGACTATAACTTGTTGAACATTCTTAGGATCATGAGATCCATTTATAAACACAATTTCAGGTCGAAAATCTTTTGTGAAATGCACCTGCCGATGATAAAATCCAGCAAGATTATAATAACTCTGCTGTTAAGACTTATGGATTCAACTCTTTTTAGGATAATTCTAGTCTAGAGATTCTCTCTGTATACCTGAAATATGAACTCAAAAGTGACCTATCACATTGTATAGTTTTACAAGTCCTTATAGGACTATATCCTTGTAAATATAGTTTTTTTTTTCAATATCAGTTTGATTTATTATATTTCATTGATTAAAATGTTTGTCTAACATTTTCTCTGTTTTGTAATTTGATACTCTTTACCTAGGAAATAAATTTCGATTATATATATTGATATTCTTTGCCTATAATTTTTTCCTAGATTATTCTTCAGTATCACTTCTATCAAACAATCGAATGGTTAAAATAATTTTTTATTTTAATTCATATATATAGATATATTTTTTTTTGTCTTTTATATTTTAGTCAGATAAATATTCTACTCGATCATCATTTAATGTCAAAGATATAACACATATGCCAAGTATATCATCACCATCATCAATTGGTTATACTGGTATATATAATCCAGCTAATTCATGTTTTATGAATGCTGCTATACAATGTTTATCAAATACACGTGAATTACGAGATTATTTTTTACGTAAGAAATTTTCTTTTTAATTTTTTATGTAAAAAAAAAAAATGTTTTACTTTTTATTTTTAAATTAGAATCATATTATACTATTGAATTAAATCGAGTAAATCCACTTGGTATGAAAGGTGCAATGGCTGAAGAATTTGGTAGAATAATTAAAGAATTATGGGCAGGAAAATATAATTATATAATTGCAAATCAAATACGAGTTAGTTTAATTAGTTTTATTTTATAATATTTATCATTGATTATTTTAGGATTATGCAGCTAAGAGACATCAAGAATTTGTTGGTAATGGACAACATGATGCACAAGAATTATTAACAATTTTACTTGATGCTATTCATGAAGTGAGAATTTAAATAGAGAATAGAAAATTTAAATATATATATATTTTTTTCTATTTAAGGATCTTAATCGAGTACTTAATAAACCTCTAGTACCACCAATAGAAGCTGATAATCGATCTGATGATGTAACTATATATATATAAATATCTATTTACTTAGGGTGTACCAAAAGTAATGACACCAGCATTATTATGTTTTATAGAAAACTCAAGAAGAATTTCTCTATGGAATATATCCACCTTACATTGAGCTTTGATTTTTTACAACGATCATTTTTCTGAATAATTTTTTTTAGCATAAACATATGTAAAAATGTTGATTAATTTGGAAAGTAATTAAGGAATATCTCTCTAACCATACGAGAAAAAAAAACGGTTTTCTAGAAATCTTATCAGGTTCTGAAACAAAGGCGACTATAATCTTTTGACCAGATAATGGGATATATATATAGGTTTATAGAGGAAGATTTCCTCTATTCAACGGTATATATATCTCATTATCTGGTCAAAGATTCAGCTGTAAGTTATAGTCGCCTTTTTTTGTCTTATCATCATCTGGAGATTCTGAAGAAGGTTTTTCATTGTTTGAAATCCTCATTTGATTATAAGAACATTGTTTCGTACTGTGTCACGTCGCTAATGTGGAGTGAATCGATGTTTTTTTTGAAAAATCTAGTCATGCTCATGAAAAACTTTAGATAGAGATTTTGTAGCTTCAAGGTTTGTCTATAGAATGTAAGTTTTAGTTTTCAAAAATACTGCTTCTATCTGGAGTTTTTTTTTTTGACTGATAACTCCGTTGAACAAAGATTTCTAGCGCTAATTTCTTCAGGACATCTAGAGTAACTTAACATATATGTAACATATAAAAATTAGCTCTAGGAAAGTTCGTTATCTCAACATACACGTGTTTTTATTTTGCAAAGTGATATCGCTAATGAATGATTTAGTTCATATATTGATAACTTAAATAGTGTTCTTTATTTCTTCATTCTTTAGTTGATAGAATAATAATAAAATTTCTATGAAAGCTGTACATTTTAGTTTTGAATGGATAAAATAAAATGTTCATTTCTATATCAAAGTGTTCATTGCACTTTCTATTCAAGCAAAAGTTATTCAATGGCAACCTATGTTCTGTATTCGGCGGCTAGGGTTCATTTTATAGAGGAATTAAAACATAATGGGAATCATTTCGTAAAAATTGCAAAGAGATTGAAGATAAAACATAATTTGATAAATCTGTAACCAAGACATCATTTTAAAATGGGTCTAGAACAGTTGCTCGACACAATACTTATTTACATAAATTTGAGTTTGGATGAAGAGAAGACCCATATTCATTCTGTTAATATATATATATCAAGAGAAATTTTCTTTGAACTATCTATAAAGTATTATAATATCAATGTCATTACTTTTGGTATATCTTAAGTATCATTTGAATAAGTTTATTTTTTGTTTTATGTGTAAATAGATTATTGCTGATGAATATTGGCGTGGTTATCTAAGCCGTAATAATTCTATAATTGTTCAATTATTTACTGGACAATTTAAATCGAAAACTAAATGTCCACAGTGTCATAAAGTTTGTTAAAAAAAAACAAAAAAAAAAAAAGAAACTTCTAGAATATTATTTTAGGAATCGGTTACATTTGATCCATTTACATCAGTATCTGTACCATTACCAAAACATATTTGTGTTGATACAATTATTACATTTCGAAATGAGGACAAACCACCAATTAAAGTTTGTTTTATTTTATCAAAGATAATTTCATTATATATATATGTACGTGTTTGTTATTTTAGTATCGTTTTGTAATGTCATCAGATGCTTCAATAGCAGAATTGAAACGTCGTCTATCAAATAAATGTGATTTACAAGTTGATAAAGTTGTTTTAATTAATTTCTATTTTTCTTTTTTATTTTTGTAAATTGAATATGTATTTAGATGTTAGCATATAAAATTCAAAATAATCGTTCTATAGAATATCTTAAAGATGAAGATCGAGTTACAGGAAGTACTTATTCATGGAGTAATTCTGATACAACTTATATGTAAGTTTTTAAATTTTTATTTAAAAATTTTCTTATTTGATCATTAATGAATCGACAATTTAAATATTAATTTCGTTTTGATGAAACTTGATGAATTTATTTCTGTCCAGACTTTCAACAATACGAATAAATATAAGAATATAGTTTAGTATATTTTATTCATAGAGAATAAATGAAATTAACTGATTTGAAGATAGTCATCAATGTAATAGTTATATTGTTAAAAATTTTATATTTGCAATGAATTTTGCAGAGATGGAACCGGTCCAGTTTTATTTCTGTCGAGAGATAAATTCTCAATTTAGTCTGAGTTTTACTTCAAAGATCGATTAAAAAAGTAATGAACATCTAATAGATTTTTTTTCTTTTTTATTTAAGAAATTATTTGAATAAAGAAAAGTTCTTTGTTTTTTTCTAATAATATTATTCTTCTAGAACTGAAACATTAACAAGTGCTGAATGTAATAATGAAAAAATTATTCATTTAACATTTTTTCAACGTATATTTAAATTACATGATTATATATTATCATGTGGTTATTGTCAAACATTACCACAACCTAATAGTTCACCGTTATTTTGTAAAAATTGTTATAGAATATCGTATTGTGATGGGTTAGTTGATTATCTTTTGTTTTGTTTGTTCTTTATTTGATTTTAATTTTATATAGAAAATGTCAAAAATTGCATGCTACGGAACATAAAGGTTCTTGTGAGTCTCGTTCAGAAGATAATTATGGAAATATTGGCCTTCCATTTATTATTTCATTACCAGAATCGAAATTAACATGTGAAAATGTATTTCAACAAATAAATATTTATGCTAAGTAAGTTATAAAATTTAAAAATAAATAAATAAATAAATGTTTCTTTTTTATTTTTCTTTTAAAAGACGAAGTGTAGATATTCATATCGACCCTTCGAAACGAACTCGACGATCATTTGATGATTTTAATCGAGATTATAGTGATGTTGATGATGATGATGAAGAAGATAGGTAAATGAAATTCTTTTGAATAGATTAATTTTTATTTTTCATATGATGAATAGAAATATTTTATGGAAAAAAATAAAAATGCAATTTAAAAAAGTTCTATACTGTTCGTGAATTTTCTTTTGCTATTTTATATGAGATACTTAATTAATATAATTATTTGATGACAATGAAATGTTTATTCTAGTGATGTAGTCAGAAAACTGTCGTAGAAAGGGTTCAGCTCGTAGTTTTTCAAAAGTTGAACATAAGTGATTTGAATTCTCCTCGAACAATGTAATGAAAAAACAATAAAAGGAAGTTTCGTAGGGGGAAGAGATGAGTTGAGCCCCTTCTAAGCTCCCATCTGAATATACTACTAGTTTATTCACAATGAGACTTTTAATATTAATTCATCGAAAAACGAGAAGCTTTATTTTCGATTGAATATATGAATATAATGTTTTTGATTTTTCAAGTTATTTTCTTATTTATGAGATGCATCTTATAGTAATGTTTGTACTAAATTAAAAAATATAGTACCATCTGTTCTATTCATTCAAGAATGAATAGCTCCTGATGTGACACTTGTATTTATTGAGTCCTCGATTATAGAAAATTTCGAAACATCAGTTACACTATGGTTATCCAGGCGGATATTAAATGACAAAATTGAAAGTGTACTTTTTAATGACTTACATATGGGGAGCATATGGGTTATTTAATGACATGAAAGTTTTTGTTCTTCTTGTTAGCATTAGTCGGAAAATCTCATTGAAAAATGCCGGTAGTAAAGATTACGAGCCCACTTTTATTTTTACTATGAATAGAAAATACTCTTGACAAAATTATATATGTTATTTAAAACTGTGTCTTTTACTCGATCAATTCAACTTCTACAGAATGCTACTCCGTCCATAATATTTATATAGGGTTAGCGCGAGCGTTTCATAACTAAACTAAAGGTTTTCTAGATAGAACTCATTTTTTTCGATACGGAAACATTTTTATTAAAGACTAACTTTATATTGGGAATCAGTATCGAATGATGTATAGTGTATTAGTTTTCTTATAAAAAAAGTTTTTCTATGTATATATAAAGTAAGGGTATCACACAGTGATTTTTCAGTAAAAACAAGCTTTTTTTTTGTTCAGATTAAATGGACATTTAAGAGATGACGTTGAGCAGAAAATAAAGTCTTTCTAAGTTAAAAAATCGTATGTTCATCTGATCTATGAAAAAAAAATATCTACTACCACTCATACAATTATATCAATAAGAAAAACTAAATAAAAGTTCGATTGAATATATTTCATATAAATTATAATTATCTATATTAATCTTCATGATGAAATTTTATTTTCTATTTGATGTAATAAAAGAGAAATTATTTATTAAGAAATAATTTTTATTCTATCGATCATTCTTCATGAAAAGAAAATATTAAAATATCTTCTCTCTTTTTTTTTTTGTTTTGTTTTGTTTTAGCTTTAGTGATATTGAAGAGATGGATCCAGCAATAATCAAAAGTACACTTTCATCATCTGATTCATGGTCTATAGTTCGTATAGGTGATTATTTTGTTAAATCAAATAAAAATAAACGACGTTCTAATCAACAAAATGATAGTAAAGAAAAAATACTTAAAAGTACATCAACAAATAATAATGATGACGAACAAGAATCAATGATTACAAATGGTGAAAGTGTTAGTAGTAAAAGTAGTAGTATGGAAGATTTTGATATGCTTGATGATATATATGGTAATCAACGATTATTTCGTATAATGCCTCAAACAACAAATACGGAGAATAATAATAATAATAATTTTCAATCAATTATTGAATGTGGTTAGTAATTTATTAAAAGAAAAGATTGAAATAAACGTTTTTTTTTTGTTTATTTTAGGTACTGATAGTGATAATATTTTACGTTGTCATACAACATTTTCAATTGATTGGTTTACAGATAATACATTTGAAGCATCATTACATGTTACACCATCAAGAAATCGTAATGGACTTAATGATCTTATCGAAGATAATAGTGTTTCAAATTCATTTGCTGAAGGTTGATTTATAAGAAAATTTTTTCTTTCTCGAAAAATAATCAATAATTTATTTTGTTTTGTTTTTTAAGATCAAGATGTAACACTTCAACAATGTCTTCAATTATTTATTGAACCTGAAGTCTTAGGTCCAGATGATAAATGGTATTGTCCAAATTGTAAAGAACATATTCAAGCTGAAAAAAAAATATCTATTTGGCGTTTACCACCAATATTAATTATACATCTTAAACGATTTAAATATAGTCATTCTTCATCATTTGGTTATATGTCTAGTTCAAGAGAAAAAATTGATACAACTATTAAATTTCCAATTCAGTATGTAGAAGAAAAAGAAAGAAAAAATTTTCAAAAAAGAAAAAAGACATAATTCTTTTTTTAGTGATCTTAATATGACACCATATTGTTCATCAATAACTGAAGAAAATCAACAAGATGATAATTCATTTCAATCTCGTTATGATCTCTATGGAATAATAAATCATCGTGGTTCAGCATGGTTTGGACATTATACATCTTATGCAAGACTTTTAGCTTTGAATGATTCAGCAAAAACTGAAATTGGTAAAAAAAAAAAAAAAAAATTTTGAAAAGCAAAGCAAAAAAAAACAAACAAAATTTAATTGTTTTTATATAGGTTGGCGTCATTTTGATGATCAATTTGTTTCATCACTTCCAAATGTTAAAGATCTTGTTCGATCTGATGCTTATGTTCTCTTCTATCGTCATCGTAATTTATCAGTTAATTTTGCGTTACAAGAACAATTACAACATACTCTATTAGAATCAAAATTAACAACTATGTGAAAAGAAAAAAACTTTATAATATCGATATATATGTATTTGAATAATATTGAGTTTTTTTGTTTTTTTTGTCTTCCTATTCAAGATTTTCAACTAACTGTGATTTTTTTTGTATTTATTTTTTTCATATAAAACTAACTCGTATGTTTTGTTTCCTTTGATATATTCATATTTAAGAAAAGAATTGTAAACTGACTAAAAATAATTTAATTATTTGATAATTGATTTTTTTTTTTAAATAACAAGAAAGTTAAACTATTTTTGTTCAGATTATTTTTTATTAAGTTTGTGAATTATTGAAAACAACTGTTGTTAGAAAGAAGAAAAAAAAACAAACAAGTGTATTGTTTTATTTAGTTCATTTTTTTAAAGAAAAATAAAAACATTTGAAATCATTATCTTAAATAAATAAATTATTCATTACATTAGAAATGAGTAACATTAATATTATTTTACAAAAAGAAGACGATATTTTTTTAGTATCTCACAGACACCTGTTGATATTTATAATAAAAAGCAAATTTTATGAAATAAAAAATAATTTGTTCTCGAAATTTCTCATATTCATCGGAACGATTAGTTATACAAAATGTTACCATGATCCCTGGCTAAAAATAAAGGAAAAAAAGATACGCATATATGTCATAGTTTAATGATATTTTTGACAAATGATAGAAAAACAAACAATATAAAAGAGAAAAAAAAGCAACAAGAGAAAAGAAAAAAAAACGCATACTATATAACATACACTATCTTATAACCAGAAAAAAAAATCATTGAGTCACTTTCTTTTTTTTCTACTACTGAGTGTTTGGTATACAAGTGTGAAAAAGAAAAGGGTAAACAGAAGCATTGGTTTCATGTTTTTTTTTTTGCCATTATTTTTCTTATTTATCTTTCTCTGGTTAATGAATCATACATGTGACTAAATTCTAATCTTAACTGAAACCCAATCTTTAATTCACAATAACCATATCGCCTACATAATTCTTTCTTTCTCTCTTTTTTTTTTGTCGACTAATAAATATGTATACACATATATATATATATATCCATCAGCAATTATTGTGAATGAAAAACATACGCTACTGTTGATAACGTCTTTGTCTCATCTACATGCAGCTGTGGTATGTTATTAATGATTGATAGACAAGGATACTGCCCACTCTAGAGTCATTTATAAAACGTAAACAAAAGAGATTGTTTTTTTACTATTATTCATACAAAGCACAAATATTATGTACGCTATCGGTAAGGTAGGTATCTTCGTCAATTTTTTTTGGTTTGTTTCTTCATCAGAAAAAAAAAACGAAGAGCAAAAGAAAAAAGATCATATCTAATAAAGAATCGACCATAAACTATATATGTGCTTGCATACCTATGCAAACGTTGTTAATTGAGTAACAGACAAGCAGTGATAAAAACCAATCTATCATTATCACCATATCATTATTGTGACTTTTTATTTTTTTTTACCTTTGTTTATTCGATAAGAAAAAAAAAAGATACAAGGACAAACATTAAATGCACATACCCTCACATATATACGTATCTATATATACATTTACATGTATATACATAAATGATAAGAAAACGATAGTTGTCTTTTTTAGATTTGTATTTTAACTATAAAAGAAGATGTCATCACAACGTTATTCCGAATCACGAACAATTCAAGAACAAAGCCGTCATGGTAATGATGGATATGGTGTGCCATATACCTCACGGGTTACTGTACCTATTCAACATACAATAAGTAGTTATAATGATTTAGGCAATGAACGACGTGTACAAGACCGTCTTCGTACTCAAGATACAACTGTACAATGGGTCAATGATCCAATAAGTGGACGTGAAAGTTTTCGAGTTACAGTCAATATTGATGGATTTAACCAAAATGAAGTATGTCAATATTAACAATTTTATCTTGATAAAAAAAAAGAGACATTTTTGTGCATTATAATTAGGTTAATATTCGTTTTGAGGGTAATAAGCTTGTGGTTTATGGTGAACATATTGAAAATAACAATCAAGTAAGAATTAATTATTTTCATTCAATTTTTCATATTCTTTATTGTTTATCTAAATATATATAATATAGAATACAGCAAAAAAACTTATAGAAAAATCTTATGAATTACCTCGGGACCTCGATACGTACAGGTAAAAAACATTATAATTAATCTAATTTTTATTTTTTATTTTTATTTTTTTTGTATTTTTCAGTCCACGAGTAACATATCCAACACCAATAACAATGCAAATCGATATTCCATCACGTCATTCAAATGTAATCATTGATGATGGTCGTACATCTTCAAAATTAATATCTAATTATGATACATCTTATCGTACACAACCACGATATAGTCAAGAAAAAACTTCATCTGAATATACATCAACAAGAAAACTTGGTACTGGTGGTGGTGGTAGTGGTGGTAGTACTTATCGATCAACTTCAAGTAAAATAAATATCTTAATATTTCTTTTCATACATATATATATATATATATATTCTAAAATATTTATTTTAGCTCCACGCATTTATTCAACATTTGATGATGGTAATACTGGTCGTAATAATACATATTCATCGACTAGTCGTTATCAATCAAGAGACTCTCAAAGTCCAATACGTCGAGGATATATTGATTCTACAAGTAATTTATATAATACTAATTTAAATACTCCAACATATACATATACTGTAACAAGTGATGATACTAAACCAAGAATAATATATCCAACAATATCAAGTGGTAATAATGATTCGGCATATGAAAAAAAATTTAGTGAAACACATCGTGAAACTCGTCATAGACGTTCAAGTCCAACAACAGGCGTACAATCATCACATGAAGTTCAACATAATCGTTCTGGTAGTCCATCAATAGGTCGAAATTTTGATGAAAATCGTTTTCGAACAAGTCTCAATATTGGTAGTAATAATATAATACCATCAACATCATCACGTAATGTTGAAGTACGTGAATTTTCACAACGTGTTGGTGGTGATACAAATAATAATACATATGTTGATAATATTCGTAATTATCAACCATCATTATTTACAGCAGGTTTCAATTCTGATGCATTTTATCGAAGTGCTTTTCAACCACAAATATTTACTGATGATCATGGTCAAAATCGTATTGAAATGAAACTTGATGTACAAAATTATGATCCAAATGATATAAAAGTATCTGTTAATGGTAATGATCTTATTGTTCAAGCTGAACATAATGTTAATCGACCACCAACAACATCATCACGAGCTTATTTTTATAAACAAATAACATTACCATCAAATACAGATTTACAAAGTATATCATCACAATATCGTGCTGATGGAAAACTTCATATTACAGCTAAATTATCTAATGATCAAGCTTCCATTAGATATCATTAAAGTCTCTTGCTTTTTTTCTTTCTTTTTTTTTCTATTTTCAGCCTGGAAGATTTATTCTTTTTTTTTTTCTCTTTTTTTTTTAAATTTAAATAAATATATATAATTTTCTCACGATATTTACTTAAAAAAAATTTTAATGAAATAATATAAATGATTTTCATTGGCATTCGATACTATATAGATAATTGTTTTATTTTGAGAGATACTATTACAAGACTATGAATTAATAGAATTTGATTTCAAGCTGAGAATCAAGGTTAAAATCGAATATAATTGAAGACGAATATTTCATAAGTAATGGTATTTATAACGATTTCATCGGTAAATATCGTCATCATCAATGTATTTATTTTTTGTTTTAAAAGAAAAAAATAATGGATCAAATGGGATATAATTTGCGATGTAAAAGTAATTATCGAAATTTTAATTCATGGTTCTTCGTTCAGAAATATCAGAGAGACCACATTCTTGTTCTAATTGAAAAAATCAAGGCTGAACTTCAAAAAACAAAATTGAAAACAAAGTTGATTTTTTTGAATTAACTTTGAGTGATAGAAAAAGCTCCTGGAATTTCTATACTCTTCAATGAATTACGTTTTGATCCACGTTACAATCAAAGCACTGAACAAGCTTTTCATTAATTTCAAAAAAAAAAAGATCTAAACAATAGTTTACAGATGTTGAACGAATCTCCATCCTTTTTTCTAAAACAGCATGTAGTTTTCTATAGATTCGAATTAGTTTTAATCTTTACTATCATGTTTAACTTCTGAATAATAAATTTTCTATCAAAACTAAGATGTAAAATACATATTGTTTACAGTTAAAGAATTACTGAGAAACTTTCTTAATTATGAAAGTCAGTAAAGTTATATACGGAGTACTTTTTCATTTATTTGATTTTTAAGAAAAATTTTTAATATATTGCAAGAACTCTTTTGATAATGTTTGGTATCAAAATTTTTTCTCATTCAAAGTTAATCCCAAAATAATTTTTCGTATGTTTTTTTTTTGATGTTCAAATTTGGCTGTTTCAATTGGACAAGAAAAGACTAAGATGTTGCTAAGCAGAGAGTCATGAGTCGAGATTTTCACAATTACTTTTGGATTATAAGTTACTCTTATGAGAAAATCTCCTCAGATGTACTAGTCCGATTTCAATGTTCTTTTTTTTGTTTATAGACACTATATAATGTTCTAATGAAAGTCCTAAAGGGATTTGTATTTGTATGGAGATTTGACTAAACTATCGAATTTTTAGTATGTCTATTTTCTGGAAGCTCCAGCTTTTTAGAAAACTCGTATTTTCAGATTTGATCTGAAAATTTGCACATATTGAGAATTCAACTAGGTTAGCTTTTAGAAAATATTCAAAAGGTTTGGACAAAGTCTCTTCAAGATATGAAGGTTTCAAAAAATGCATCTTGTGTACATTATCTATAGAAAAGAATCTACACCTTACAAGTCTCATATCTCGAAGAGATTTTGTTCAAAATTTCTGAATTATTTAATGGCGGCTAGTTTAGTCAAGTTCTTTATATACACAAAGTTTCAGATTAAAATTTAAAAATGCGAGATTTCCGAAAACTTGAAGCCTCTAGAGAATAGACATAGTAAAAATTTGATTGCTTAGTCAAATCTCAATAGGAATCTATATCATTTTAGGAGTTTTATTAGAACATTATGTAGTATCTATGGACAAAAAGAAACATCATTGGAATCGAAAGGGCATATCAGACGATGTTTTCTGATTATTAAAATAGTAGAAAAATAGTCAATAATATTCAGTATTAATTTTGATTAAGTTATAGACATTTAACAATTACTATGTTTCTAAGAATACTCGTTACATTCATACTAATTGATAGTAGTAAACAATTGTGATTTGTTTATTTATTGATAAAATAATAATATCAACAAAAAAATTTACTCTTCATCATATGTTATAGATATATTATCTTCGTCCATAATATGAGAATAAATTGTTTAGTGTATATTCATACGGGATTTTTTGTCTTCATGTTTCTATACTACTACTGATATGAAAAATATTTCTTCCTTAAACTTATATATTTTTTTTCCTTGTTTAATTTATAAAGTCATTAAATTCATAAAATTATAATAGTATACGATTGATTTATTTTAATATATATATATAATTAAGATTTTTATTTTTCTTACCTTACGGGTTTTTTTTTTAAATTTTTTTTGATTCGATTTTAATATAATCAAGTATTTCAATTATTCTTCTTCGTTTTATTCTTACCATCAATCATTTACAATTATCTTTGTTTTTTATTTTTGCTTTCATTTTTAACAAATTATCATTTAATAGCTTCTATCAACTAGATATATTATTAAAAATATATTTATCTAATGTAAAAACTATTACGAAAATATTCTTTATCAAAACAAAAACAAGAAGAACTAATATTTATGTATATATTTGATTATTATTGTCCGAGATATACATATAAATTATAATCAAATATTTAAATAAATGTCATAGATCTATCATTGAAATTTATTAAATTACAAAATCTAGTTGTTATAAAATTTATACTATAATTTAACAAATATTAGCTTTTTTTCTGGCATCATAAGGTTTATAATTTATGAAGATATATTTTGATATATAGTAATTGTGTCATGATCTTTTTTTTTCTAGCATTCAAATTTGATTTTACTTTTCTCTTTGAACAATGTAAAATAATTAATTTTACAATAATTAATATTTTCATTTGAAAATCTCGAGAAAAATTACAATCTTTCTCCTGAAGTCTTTACTCTCATTATCAAACAATTATGAATATTAATCGTATATTTTAATAGTTTGTGCATTTGGATCAATGTAATGTTTTTTATTTTTTATGACAGAAATCTAAGCAAATACATTTGATACTTCACGATCTCGATTAATTGAAAATGAAGTGGGAACGGGATACGCTCTCTAGGATTAGAACGATCTAGGAGTAAATCCTTTTCAGCTCTAGAAAGTGTTTTATCTAGCTTAAGCGTCAAGGAAACAGTGCTCCTTCAAATATTGAACTGACTTTTGTGGTTATTGTACCACGTACTATGAGTTTGTGCTTCCAAAAAATAGGTGTTCACCTTCCCGGAGTTTTAACTTGATCCTCCGAAAGAGAAAATCTGAATAAAACACTATCTCTAGAAATTTTTACTAGCGTCGCCACTACGAAGATACCTAATACATTATTTTACTCTATTTCTAAGTGCATACGTTCAGGATTTGCTCAGCGTTTCTTGAATAGAAAAATCAATCTAATAAGAAATTGTTGTATGAAACAATTGATTGTGCAATGCAATAGCAGAGCTATGGTTAGAAAAATTTGATCAATTCTATACGAAATTGTTAATTTAAAAAAATAAATAATAACAATCATACAACAATGACTCATTCTAACATCTTTTGCAACAAATAAAAAAGTGTTTCTCCGTTTTTTTTGTCTGTTCTTTTAATTTATATAATGCTTTATATGATTGTAAATATTTATTTTCTTTCCTTACTTAACAACATATTTGCATCATGATATATTTTTTTATAAGAATTCTGTCAAAAAAAAAAATTCTGTTCGATTAGATTTATTGCAAAAAAAAAACAAACTCCGAAATAGATTCCAATGGCTTCAAGTATTAACGAGAAAAGCTCATGTTCCATATGTGGTGTTAGAAGATGGATATTGCCATGTGATGGCTGTCATAAATCATTTTGTATTACACATGCAACTGATCATCGAGCTGAATTAACAACACAACTTAATAATATTCAACAACAATATGATCATTTACAACTTATTTATAATCAATATGAAAAAGTTCAAGAACATCCATTATTTTCATTAATTGATGTATGGGAACATGATACAATAATTAAAATTCAACAAAATGCTCAAAAAATTCGTGATGAACTTCGACAAATACATGAAGAATCAAATAATCAAATGAAAACTATATTTAATCAATTTAATGAACTAATTCGTATTGGACGTGAAACTAATGATTATACAGAAATTGAAATTAATCAATGGAAAGAACAATTAATAAATATAAGAAAACAATTAGAAACACCATATGATATTGAATTAATATCAGATAATAATTTACCATCAATTCATTTAATTAAAATTAATGCAACAAAACTGAATATAATGTTTAATATTTCTTCATTTTCTCAAACAACTCAATTATATGAAGATACAAATAATATCAAATGTTCTTGTGATAATGATGAACTTGATAAACAACAATCAACTATTGTTGATATTAATGACAAATCGACTGTAGAATGTATAGTTATCTTTTAAATCAATCATTATAGACTTAATTTGTATTTTAGTTTCAGAATCGAATGAATCAAATGCCATATTGAAAGAAGAATTCGAAACAAATCTTAATTCATGTAATATATCATCAATTGAGCCTCAACTTCTACTTGATCCAACTAAGAACAATCATCTTTTATTTCTTCAATTATCTTCTACAATTCAATCTCAAATACCTCAAATTCTTAATCAATTAACTGATCATCATTTACAAATATTCAATCAAAAAGAAGATTTTCTTAATCAATTACAATGTTGTGAACAAACTATTAGTTTTATTGATATTTCTAATATATCATTAGATGAACAAAATTATTTATTAGATACGATTTCAGAACTAAATAATGTTTATTACATATATCTTCGAGGTATTCCATCAGAAGATGTTGATGAATGTAGTAATTTTTTTCGACGATATCCAAAAATAAAGGCAATGTTTGAAAATGAACAACGTCTTATGGTTCAATGGGCAATTGATACAGCAAATGAATATAAAAAAACCGGTGATATGTATATTGAAAAAGGTGATAAAGACAATGGACGTAAATGTTTTGAACAAGGTATTACATTATATAAACATTTATCTGCTTTTCTCAATGAAAAACGACGTATTCGATGAATAAATAATATTCTATTAAAATGATTATTTTTTTTTTTTCTTTTTTTGTTCGTATATTTTTTTTTTCTAATTCTAGATAAATGACTGTCATGAATACTTCTCTTCTTGTTCTTCTTGATCTTCAAGATGAACATAAAAATTTCGAAACAATATTTGATTCACATATATTTTGTCGATTTACAAATAAAATTCAATGTTTAGAACATGTTTCATCACGTCTTACAAATATTCGTTTATTACATTTTTTTATACCAAAATCTGAACATATAATTATTGATGCTCGTCTTTTATTTTTTAATACAATCTATTATATTTATTGTATAGATCAAATTAGTATTAATGAAATGAAACAACAATATGACTATCCAATGTTTGTTAAAATTTTTCATATTAAATCTTTATCAACATATTTACATCAAGCAGCTATTGCACATTTAATTGAACAAGCTGAACGTCGAAAACATGAACCTGATGAACATGATATTGCATTACAAGCAGCAGCTGAATTTTCTGATATATTAGCTAATGAACTTTATGAATATATGATTGAAAAGATTGGTTAATTATCAAATGATGATTAATAATTTAGAATTGTTGTGTTAAATTTCTTCTTTTTGTATAGAATATTCATATGAATATTAAAAAAAAACAAAATGTCTTTCATTATTTTGTTAATTATTATAACAAATAGTCTGATGTTATAATGAATAAAAAGCAGTGTCTTATCCAGAGTTGCTCTTTCGGAGGAGCGATTTCAAGTTCTGGAAGGACAAAACTGATGTTCGAAGGTGTACCATCTTCATACTGGATAAAACACTGATAAAAAAGAACAAGAAAATTGAATCATTTCTTTAATGAGTATTCGTATTTATTTAAACTGTGCATGTAATTTAGTGAGATCTAAATATTTTTTATTGTTTTGGTTACCTTACAACGTTTTTTATGACTGACTGATAATTTTGATTTTTAAAAGAAGATTCTCATAAAGACGAACAACTATCGAGACACATACAAATCATTTTCATTCGTTACTCTTATCTTAAAAAACAATGGTAATAGTAAAACACTAGTTCCTATCAGTTATGGATTAGCATAGATTGTTATATATCATATAAAGTAAGATTCTGATTTCTATTAGACTAATCAAAAACGATTTTTCGGCCTTTTTTTTCAATCAGATGGTATGGAAGAAAATAATTATTCTTATTTCATATGCATTTGTACTTTGAACAACAATGTTATTATCCAAATTCGATATGGTCATTTTGAATTAACGAGAATCATATGTAAACATATCAAAAAACAAGAAAGAAAAATAGTTCTTAAACAAAACAAAATTATTTTGCAATAAGAAAATGTTACTGACCTACTCTATATAGAAGACAATGCAAAAGACAAAAAATACTATGATAATTATAATGTCTGATTTGACGTTTTATTCTTTATGCTGTATGTGTCGATAGATTTGTTTTTTTTTTAATTTGTACTTTATTTAAAACCATGTCGCGTTTTAGTATTTGCTTACGAGGCCTTTTTTTTTATTGATAAATAAATTGATTAACATTATTGTACTTGTCAAAGAATATTTTTTGCTTGTAAACAGTTAGAAAGTTTTCTAAATTTTACATATCTGTACAATCCGATATTCAGTTATATAAGCTTCTTCAACATGTTAAAAATCAAATTGTTTATTTCCACATTTACTATGAAGAGTTCGATCAAAATTAAATTTAAATTAAATTTCTTATTTAAAAATAAGATTAATAGAAAAAAAAAACTTGTCAGCGCAATTCCTTTCGAGCTAAAATGTGCAATTCGCATGTGTTCTTCCAGCCTCATTCCTTCGACTGAACGGAGGATCACATGAAATAAAATGAGTTTGCTTGCATGTGTAAAGTCACGTCTACATATATACTTGTGAAGATCTTGGGTAGCTATTTGACATGAGCCTTCCTCATATTGATAATTCAGCCAATGAGGTGTTTCTACTACTTCAATCTCAACCGATTAGATTTTTATGTTGGTGGCTCAGGATATGGATGTGAGTATGAGTGTGGTGATGTTGTATATGTGTAGCACACTTGAAATCTGTCGAATTTTTTTCGATCGGGCCGAATCGAACAGGCCGGTTGAAATTGAAACATCGGTGTGGTTAGTATATCAACTACACAATCAGTTCTTTCGAGAACCAGTCTATTACTTCAGTTCTACGAATAGATACGATGTAAAACTCATATAACTCTTGGAGCGTGGAATAGTAACAACTCCTATTTTAGTCTGTCATGTTTTATGTACTAACATGAAGAACGAACAAAGATTTTTTTTAAAATGTTTCATGTAGTAACTCATATTGAACAACACTTATATTGTGCTTTAGATGACATTTTTCAATAATGTTATAATTTCTTTACAATTGATAAGTTTGATCTATTCTTATTTGAAATAATTATTTAACACAGCTAAAAGGCATCTCAATTCGTAAAAGAAAATACTATTGTTGACAGAAAAATAAGGTGAACTAAAACGTATGATTTTTATATTAGACTTCCTATTTTAAGATTTCTTGACGTCTAAATATTTTACAATTGCATGATACTAGTATGTGGCAAAATCTTGACAATAGAACAAAGTTTTACTGATATTTTGCACTTAAAGCATAAACTGAAAATTACTAGCTACCGGGATTTTATAAGAATCCGTTAAAGTGGTCCAGAAAAGTGTGTTCGAAATTCTGAGATGAAAATTTTTTAATTGAGATCGAAACCAACTTCTAACACTTGGTTAACTTTTCGTGAGCATAATAAATTTATTCAGAATGATCCAAGGCTTTCATCGTATGATGAGAAAGCGTTAACTCAATATGAAGAGTTCAAGTTTTGACAACTACTGGAAATTTGTCAGTTGGGAACTTCCAGGCTCATATCTCTTGATCATTAAAACCATGGATATCGTTAAAAACCAGTAAAATAGGCCAACTTTAATGCCCTCAAAAAAATTAACAAAAAGGCGGGCAAAAATCTGGTGAACATCCGTCGGCTTTAAGAGGTCAATCGGATTGGACGGGTAACCGGCAGATTGGCTAGTCCCGTTCTAAATGTAATGCGTTGGATGCGTGTATGCCTGTGGTTATGAATACGTGGTGTTCGTATGGGTGAAGCTGTGGCGGTGTGGAGTGCAGTGTGCATGCGTTGGTGTGATGTGTAAGTGTGGCAGTGGGTAAATTTGAATATGTGGGTATGAGTGTGATTATTTGAACAGTGAAGCAAAGCATTGACATCGGCACGCACATCAATATCCAAGTCGCAACGACGAACGTTATTTGTTCAATTTATAGCCTACTTAAAAAAGCATTATTCAAATAGGCATTCTATGCACTCGTATCTACATCATCTCGATGCTATGAAACTTTGGTATTCGGAGTCTTTACTCATTTTCAGGTCGCTCAAAGTGGATGACGTTTACAGCTCGCTTTCAGTCAGTAAACGTGAAAAAATGTCAAATTTACAGTAGTAAACAGCTAAATACAGATTTTAAACTCTCTGTATTTACAACGTTTGATCGGATGCAGAAACATAGCCGATATTTTATTATTAGCATAAACAGTCGTATACAATTCATGTACTGTACATTACAACTATTCCAATCAATCTTTTAAGTATCATAAGTGGACCGTGCTTATACCGTTTTCACACCATAAACTATATAGAATACGCCATAAATTCGTGATTCACAGACTGATGCTACATTATCAATGCAGTCATGCTCATCCAATCACAATTTTAGTTACAGGATGCCATCTGGTATTCTAGTGCATTATATACGGTCTGTTGTGTACGATAGTCTGACGTGACAGTACGCGATATAGGGCACGTCTAGGTGCATTGCACGCTTCTGTCTTACTTCATTTTACCAACCGCTTTTGCAAGACCTGATTAATGTATTTCATGTTTTTGTAGCACTCCTCGACGATTAGAGTGCCATAGCATGCATCCCGAAAAGCTCTGACAGACTTTCGTACAGGTGTGAGCAGTGGCATGGAATTGTCGTATCCGTCTCGGTTATGTACCGTACGGTTCGATCTTGTCTGAGGATAAACAGATAAACATAAAACTGGCAAAGTAAATTCGTGAGAGGTTACATAAAAATAGAGTAATCTCTACCATTTCACAAAAGCACAGCGCATCAATAGTATTTGAAGATCTATATATTATTTTCGTTCATCCTAAAAACCCATCCAATATTAACGATGATAAAGCTTGGCAATTAGATATTTTTAAGCATCACGCTTTATAGTGTGGTATAGTAGTCAACGGAAGTTATCGATTGACATATGAAGCAGTCCAAAAACATTGCTAGAATCTTAACTATAATAAAACAAGAGTTCTAAATAACATGCTGTTAAAAGAAAATATGATGCCGATGAGAAAGTTTGCATAGTCATTCTTCCATGGGCGGCTCAATGGTATTAAATGAACTTTATTAGAACTATTGATTATATATTATTACGCAGCATCTGCCATAGATTTCGAACACTTTAATTATAGAAGATAATGAAGGAGTAGATGATGGACGAGTACATAGCCTTTACGTAGTTGCATGAAGAACCATAATGATAAAATCTTAGACGCCGTAGTGTCTAAAATTGCTTGCTTTGGATATGATTCGATTATTTTGACTTAACCGATCATCATATAACAAACAACATTTGCAACAAAGGATAAATGTAAAAAATCTTATACGACCAACTATTTCGTCGAGTCTCAGTCGAAATTTGCCAAAGAAGAATGAAAAAAAGAAACTCTACGATTATAAATACTCATATTTTACCATGTGACTAACAAAATTTCATAAAACGCAAAGTTGACGGTAGTTGTTATCATAACTCCTTCACAGTGCATCATTACTTTGCATTTCTTTCTTCAAACAAGTAATTGCAAAAGCATGAGAAACTTACGACACACAACTGTTATAAACTCACTAAAACGAAAATACTTCCACTG